ACTAAAGAGTCTAATAAAATTGTGAATAGAAATAATAAGAATATTTGGTATGACTGTAAACTTACTATACTGAAATTTAAAATATTTGTATGAGGGGTACTGAACATAGTAAAAAACAGCATAAATCAACATAAGTTTGGAAAAAATAAGGATATATAAAACAAGCAAAGGATTTGGATACTGAATATATTTTAAAACGCCTATAAATCGAAGGAAAAAAATGAATAAATGGGCAAAAAATGAGACTAGGAAAATCACAATAAGTAACATGATTGACTAATAAAAATATATGGAAAATATTCAACTCACTAGTAATTAGAAAACTAAAAACTAAAGCACACGCTAGAAGAAGAAATACAGGACACTTATTTCGCCTTTGACTGAGTTGCCAGATGTCCACAAAAATAAACAAGTTACCAATATGGACCAAAGTTGAAAATGTATACAACCCATGACTGAGTAATCGGACACCACTGCTCTTGTGTACTAGTATACAGGAGCAAAGCTAGTCACTGGTTTTGTAATAGTGAAAAACTGTCAACAACTATATAATGGCCAATAGATAAGATTTAAATCTATTGAGGTATATTTATATCAAGATTGGGCTAATGCATAGCACAGGGAGATCAGCTTGGTGCTTTGTGACCGCCTGGAGGGGTGGGATAGGGAGGGTGGGAGAGAGGGAGACGTAAGAGGGAAGAGATATGGGAACATATGTATATGTATAACTGATTCACTTTGTTATAAAGCAGAAACTAACACACCATTGTAAAGCAATTATACTCCAATAAAGATGTAAAAAAAAAAAGATTGGGCTAAAAGATATTTCATTTTGTAGAAAAATAGCAACCCTACATTCAGAAAAAGGACACTAATTGCAGGTCAGGATGTGAGCCATTAGCCATCCAATTATCACTAGTAACATGAAATAATGACCCATAATTCCAATCTGAGAGTCACTCCCTTTGGATTTGGCAACATTTCCCAGAGGGATTAATAGGTATTAGAAATGGAGGTTCCCTGGTAACATTTTAAAGTGTTCTTTACCATAGGTCTCCATTTGTTTGGTCAATATGAGCTTTTCATTATTCAAACGTAGAGATTTAGTATTCAGTACTTCATAAACTTGTTTAAGCCCAAAAACATCTTAAAAAGTACTGTCAAGTACCAACAGTATTCCTGGGGCATAATTTCAAAAACGTTGGATAAAGGTATGTCTGTACATTCAATATATATATATATATATATATATATAGTAACTTGGAGAAGTACCATGCTGACCTACTGTAGGCTTATTTTATTACGGAACTCAGATTATTCTGTCTTGTGTTATATTTTATTCTAAAACTTAGACATATGGGACAATGATGTTAACTATCAGATGGTGAATAACTAAATAGAATCGTGGATTCTCCATCTGCAACAAATGGTCGCAGAAGTGTAGGTTATAAGGGACAATCACACTGACATCATAGATGGTTGGAAGACAATACGTAATTTGTAATTTCCATGAATCATTCTTATTTGAAAGATAAGAATTCTTTTATAGGGCTAAATACCAACTGTGCAAAAATACACAGTACTTCATCAAAACTAATATGATTTGCTGCTGGCACTTTGACATTTACAGAAAATACAGGGGAAGGCAATTCAAATGACTAATTTCTGACATTTATCTGGATGGAAGTGTTTGAAAATGGGTATCAAGTATGTCAATAGGTATCAAAAATGGTCAAGTATGTGTGTTGGGGGGTGGCAGGGAGGTTCCTTTTAGTATTAAAGAAATCAGTTATTTATAATTCAGCTCATTCATAAATTAAAATAAAGATTAGAAAAACTAATGAATCTAGATCACAGATTTGCAAACTTGTTCTTAAAGGGCCGATGGTAAATATTTTTAGGTTTACGGGGCATACAGTGTCTGTTACAACTAACTCTGCTGTTGAAGACAGAAAGCAGCCTTAGATAATATGTAGGTGAATGAATACAGCTGTGTTCTAATAAAACCCTAGAAAAACAGGTGGTTGGCCCACAGGGCAATCGTTTGCTAACCTGTAATACTGAAAGTACTAAACGTGGATCAACAGCTTTGTCATTCAAGATTTATAATTAAACAAGAATAGTTAAGTCTTGAACATTCTAGATAAATTTTTTTTAACATCTTCATTGGAGTATAATTGCTTTACAATGGTGTGTTAGTTTCTGCTTTATAACAAAGTGAATCAGCTATACATATACATATATCCCCATATCTCTTCCCTCTTGCGTCTCCCTCCCTCCCACCCCTCTAGGTGGTCACAAAGCACCGAGCTGATCTCCCTGTGCTATGCGGCTGCTTCCCACTAGCTATCTATTTTACGTTTGGTAGTGTATATATATCCATGCCACTCTCTAACTTTGTCCCAGCTTACCCTTCCCTCTCCTGTGTCCTCAAGTCCATTCTCTAGTAGGTCTGCTAGATAAATGCTTTTTAATTTCATAGCTCTTTTGGTAGATTCTCAATTTCAGTTGGTGGGTAATATATTTAGATTTTCTATACTTAGTTTCATAAGGAAACCTCATTTAGCTTTTGCTTTTTAGGACCTATTATTCTAATAGAGATTTGTTGTAATTATGTAATCCATATATCAATGAGCTAGAAATACTGTTAGAAATAATTTCCTTCTTTAAGTCTACCCAAGTATGTGCCACAGTGCTGCTTTTAATAAAGTTGTTTTCCTTTGATTTTATTTTATAAAATTTAATTAAATTTTATAAAATCAATATCATCTTAGGTTAATTTTGATAAATTACATTTTTTCCCAGGAACCTAATACATTCTTTCAATTTCTAAATATACTGGAATAAACTGAAACACTGCCTTATAATTAAAATTTTTTTTCTTCCATATTTATGGTTAAATCCCCTTTATTTGATGCTAATATACTTTTTTTTTTTTTTTTTGCGGTACGGGGGTCTCTCACTGTTGTGGCCTCTTCCGTTGCGGAGCACAGGCTCCGGACGTGCAGGCTCAGCGGCCATGGCGCAGGGGCCCAGCCGCTCCGCAGCATGTGGGATCTTCCCGGACCGGGGCACGAACCTGTGTCCCCTGCATTGGCAGGCGGACTCTCAACCACTGCGCCACCAGGGAAGCCCTGATGCTAATATATTTTTAATAGAAAAATTTTTAAGTTAAAAAACACTGTTTCAAGATTACTGTTTCATTTCTAAATTGTAAAACTGTACCTCTAGATGAATTCATTGCTTTTCATGGGAAAAAACCCAAAACTTTGAGTATCATTTTGGTTAATAATCAATAAGCTCTAATAATTTTATTTGTATTAATTACTTCCTATACTGGCTTAGGATTTATGTTGTTATATTTCTAACTTTGTAGGTCAAATTCTTATTCATTGCTTTATCAGGTTTTTTTTTTTTGTTTTTTTGTTTTTTTTTGCGGTACTCGGGCCTCTCACTGTTGTGGCCTCTCCCGTTGCGGAGCACAGGCTCCGGATCCGCAGGCTCAGTGGCCATGGCTCACGTGTTTTTATCAGTTTTATCAAATCCTACTAAGTGAGGGACTGAATAATTCTGGGGATAAAGCAGTGAACAGAAAGTTCTGGTCTTCATTTTTTATTTCATGCATGCATTGAAGAGTATTACATTTCCAAAGAGTAGAGGTTTGACAACATCCCAAAGCTGGTATATAGGCATTTTATTATTGTTCCTTTCTGAATAGCCCTAATTTCAATTTTAATTTTCTAATTGATTCAGGACTTAGGCATGAGATTATCAATTTGCAAAAGGAGGTGATAAAATATTACCATGTAGATTAATAACTGTAAAATGAATCTCTACAATGGAGAGATCTAGCAGTCTCCACTATAACCAATCTAGCACCATTAATAGTAGGAAAATGCTTCTTAATGTATACAACATAAACTCAATTAAACCTCTTTATTTAACTTCAAATTTACTGGAACTATTAGAGACAGAAGAACAGGACAAATGGACCTACAATGAAGCAATTTTTAAAATCCAGAACATGAGACATTCTGTAAGATAACTTTCCTGTACTTTTCAAAAATCCAAAGTAAGGAAAACATGGTGGGGATGCTGTTCTAAAACAGGAAATTGGAAAATTTTTTGTAATGAACCAGACAGTAAATATTTTAGGCTTTGTGGGTCATACAGCCTATTGCAACTATTCAGCTCTGCCAAAGAAATACCAAAGCAACCATAGACAGTATTTAAACGAATGAACATGTCAATGCTCTCATAAAACTCCTGTTTTAAATCCTCTCATGATTTTTACATTTTACTAGAGTTTGTCCAGAAAAAATTATTTAAAACTCAACAAGGCATAAGGAATTACGCAAAGCTAAATTCATTACATCCATATGGACTTGATCTCATAATGATACAAATAATAATACACTAATAATAATACCAATGATAATACTAAAAATAGTATCTAATACTTACTGAATAAACACTATGTTTAAGATAGCTTTCCAAGTTTTTTATATTCTAATAACAGCACTATAATGTAGGTATTATTATCGTCATTTACAAATGATTCCCACAGGGATAGATATCTTGCATGCAGGCTGTAAAGAATCAAACGGCAATCATGACAGTTTTTTCACATTTGTTAGGTCAACAGGGGTTTTCTGTGGTATTAGTTTTTTCAAACGTAATAATGACTGATGAGGGTTATAGAGCTTTTATAAATAGAGAATAAAAAACAAGGGCATTTCTACATTCTGTGGATTTTCCTCCATTATGAATATTCTGATAATCCATAAATAGAGAAATGCCAGTAAAGGCCTTCCTATGTTACATAAAAATACACCATAAATTTCTGAATCTGAACAACATCTGGGTCATAACTAAAAAGTCTGAAATATTATTTACATTCTGAGGGGTTCTCACCAGTATAAATTATTTAATGCCTTATAAGAATCGAACCATATCTAAAAGCTTTCCCATGTTCTTTTCATTCAAAAATTTTCCCAGTGTTATAAATGTATGGATGTTACTATACATTCTCTACTGCATATATATGCTTTTCTACAGTCCTTAAATTCATAAGTTTTCTCTCCAGTATGAATTTTCTGGTGTACTTTAAGGCTTGAACTAAGCCTAAAAGACTTACCGCATTTGTTACATTCAAAAGGTCTCTCACCACTGTGAATACTCTGATGTCCAGTAAGTCATCCATACACACTAAAGGCCTTCCCACATGCCTTACATTCATAGGGTTTCTCACCAGTGTGAATTCTATGATGTATTTTCAGGCTTTCAACATGACTAAAGGCCTTCCAACATTCTTTACACTCACATGGTTTCTCACCAGTATGAATTCTCTCATGCCTGTCAAGGTTTGAGGTGCGACTAAAGGCCTTCCCACAGTCTTTACATTCATAAGTTTTCTCACCAGTATGAATTCTCTAATGCATTCTTAGGCTTCCACCATGAATAAAGGCCTTCCCACATTCTTTACACTTAAAGGGTTTCTCACCAGTATGAATTCTCTCATGTTGAATAAGTGCTGAAGCATGACTAAAGGCCTTCCCACATTCGTTACATTCATAGGGTTTCACGACAATATGTATTCGCTAATGTGGAATGAGTTGATAGCCAGAACTAAGTGTCATCCCACATTCCTTACATTTATAAGGCTTCTCCCCAGAATGAATTCTCTCATGTTGAACAAGATGTGAGGCATGACTAATGGCCTTCCCACATTCCTTACATTTGAAACCCTTGTAACAAACCCTCGTTTGTTACAAGGGTTTCTTGCCAGTATGCGTTCTATGATATACTCTAAGATCTATACCACGACTAAAGCTCATCCCACATTCACGGCATTCATAAGGTTTTTCACCAGTATGAACTCTACCATGTTGCACAACATGAGAGGCTTGACTAAAGGTCTTCCCACATTCCTTACATTCATAGGGTCTCTCACCATTATGAATTCTCTGATGCATTCTAATTCTTCTACCTTGACTAAAGGCCTTTCCACATTCATTACATACGTAGGATTTCTCACCAGTATGAACTCTGCCATGTTGAGTAAGATGTGAGGCACAACTAAAGGCCCTCCCACATTCTTCACATTCATAGGGTTTCTCCTCAGTATGAATTCTCTGATGAACTCTAAGTTCTATCCTATGACTAAAAGTCATTCCACATTCCTCACATTTATAGGGTTTTTCACCAGTATGAATTCTCTGATGTCATAGAAAGTTGGATGCATGATTAAAGGCCTTTCCACACTGCTTACATTCATAAGGCTTCTCACCAGTATGAATTCTCTGATGTACTGTAAGGTCTATGTGTTGACTAAAGGCCTTCCCACATTTGTCACATTCATAGGGTTTCCCACCATATGAATTTTCTGATGTAGAGTAAGAGATGAATATTTTTTATAAATGTGTACATTTTCATTTGATTATTTCATACCTTGACTTCAAATCTAAAAGAAATGAGAAAAACATTTTGTTTTCCTTGACAAAGAACAGTGTATATTCTATAGTACCTTCTTTTAAATTAAAAATATCACTTATTAGGACTTCCCTGGTGGTGCAGTGATTAAGAATCTGCCTGCCAATGCAGGGGACATGGGTTCGAGCCCTGGTCCAGAAAGATCTCACATGCTGCAGAGCAACTAAGCCCATGCACCACAACTACTGAGCCTGCGCTCTAGAGCCTGTGCACCACAACTACTGAGCCCATGCACTGCAACTACTGAAGCCTGCATGCCCTAGGGCCTGTGCTCCACAACAAGAAAAGCCACCATAATGAGAAGCCCATGCTCTGCAACGAAAAGTAGCCCCCACTTGCCACAACTAGAGAAAGCCCATGCACAGGAATGAAGACCCAAAGCAGCCAAAATAAAAAAATAAAAATTTATTAGAGATAAATACTTTAGACAACTCATTAGAGATGAGTATTGCATCACTCATTAGAGATGAATACTTTAGACAACTCTAAAATCAGCTATACAGTTTGTAACAGTTACTGACACTTTCTCCATAACTCATTTATCACACTTTACTAGAGTGATTTAATATACTCTTTCCTGCATCAGTTTCCATCAAAGACTTACAAAGGTGTGACTGGCCAAAACTGTGAAAACAGCAGCAAAAAAACGATTGTGATAAATGGTAACAATACAATGGAAAGCAATGAGTCCAAAATGATACAAGAGAAAATAAATGAAAAAAATCATCTTCACCATCAAATAACTCCTTAACTGAAGAAGTTCAAGTAGCATCATGGTGATGTAAACTTCTTATAGTCGATCTCCCTCTCTGATATCAATTAAAAATGCTTGACAAAATAAAAAAATCAAACACCTCAGGTCCATAAATTTTTAAAAAAAAGGGCTTGTGGAGGGGAGTGAAAACCTTATAAAATGACCTACACTAGGCTGAGTTTCTTGACACCTTCCCTACCACTCATAGCCTTGCCAGACGGGTATATCGGGGCAAAAATGAGCTGTCAAAGCCCCAACATATTTCCTGCTACAAGAATCATGGCAAGGAACACTACCAAACTGGAAAGTGAGAGAGGAACCCTAGAAAGGAAACATTCGGAGAAGGAGATTCCCTAATTTTAGGTGGAAACAAGTACAAATATTAGCCTGAACATGAATCACATATGCATGAGAAGGACACAAACGAGTACAGCAAAGCCTTAGAGAACCAGAGAATTACACTACTTCCCATAAACAGCAGGACAGAACGTGTAGTCTAAATTTTATTGCTTCAATTCCTTGCTAAAGTAAAAATATCAACATTTCAACACAACACAGCACTCACAATGTCCATGAAACAATTTAAAATTATTAATTGTGAAAAGAACAAAAAAAAGTGATCCCCTCTCAAGGTAAAAGATAAACCACAGATGCTGAGATGACCCAGATGTTGTAATTGTCAAACCAAGATATAAAAGCAGTTATTTTAGCTATCCTCTAAGAGATTAAAATTTTTTTTAAAAACCACACATTTGAAATTATTGATAAGAAATATAGCCAGAGAAAAAGAAACCACATAAAGGAAAAAATTAAAATTGTAGAACTGAAATATATAATTTCTAAAATTGCTAGATGAGCTAACAGCAGAATGGAAATGACAGAGGAAAAGGTAAACATGATAGATGTATAGAAGTTATTCAAGTTGAAACTCATCAACAGTACAGGTTAAAATTTTTATGATAGAGCTTCAGGGACTTGTGGTAATATATCTAAAAATGTGATTAGAATCTGAAAAGGAAAGGGACAGACCGAGGCAAAAAATTGTCTGATTGAAAAAAAACACTACTAAAGGAATTTATTTAGGCTTATGGAAAATGATACAAAAGGAAACCCTGAATCTTCAGGAATGAAAGATGGCATCATGAAAGGTAAATAGGTAAATACATAAGATCATTTATTTCCCTATTAAGTTATTTCAGATATATTTGACTCTTGAAAGCAAAGCTTATAATAGTCTGCTGGTGTTTTCAGTATGTGTGGATATGAGAAACATGACAATTATAAAGGGAAAGGTAAATATAAACATATTGAAGATACAAGGTTTGTTCATTTTACAAGAAATGCTACAATATTTGTAAAAACAGATTGTGAAAGCTTAGGTATATTGTATACTGTAACCCCTATAACATACACTAAAACAAATATTCAAAGAGAAATAGCCAAAATACCAACAAAAAACCTAAAATGAATACTAAAGAAGTATTTAAATACTCCAGTACAAGGCAGGAAATGGGAAACAGAAAACCGAAAACAAAGGAAGATAGGACATTAGGAAGACAGTGGACTAGGAAGATACGGCCCCTCGTTCTCCCCAAGAGAGCCTGAATTAACAGCATTATATGTACCAAAATACTTTTGTGAAAACTCTAAAAACTAGTTAAGGGGCTCCAGCACCCAGATAAGCACATAAACAAGAGAAGAGACAGCCAAGAAGGTTAAAAGTTGGTGACAGTTTGCTTGCCCTAGCCCCTCCTGACACCCAGTGTAATGAGGTGTGATGGGGAGAATAGCTACTCCTAATTTCTGGCTCCTTCCTCAGGATAGGAAAAAAGTGAAAGTTGTGTCCAACATTCTGACTTCTCTAGGGGCTGCCCCAGGGACTGGTTTCTGTTTCATCTGCCTTGGATTGCTGATGAGAATGGTGGCATATAAGATTGGAGGCCACTGAAAACACAGGTGAGCACGGCAGTGTGTTAAAGCAGCAGAGAATATACATTTCCACAGGCAGGCACCAGGAGAAGCAAAATTTTAAGGGTAGAGGAATACAACAGAAACTGAAAGGTCCTCAGAAGAAACAGGAAATTAAGGTAGTTAAAAGCAGCCATTTATACTAAAATAAAAGCATGCACACAACCCCAAAGAAGATGCATCCCAAGAAAAGGTTTGAAAGGTTCCAGAACCCCTGGCTGGGCTTACTGGTGAAGGTAGTAAGCCAGTCTGTAAAGAGTGGGAGAGGCGGCTGTTTCTACAAAGCCAAAATCTCAGTGAAAAATCACAAGGGATACAGAGAAACAGGGAAATACAGTCCAATCAAAGGATCAAAACAAAGCTCCAGAAACCAACTCTAAAGAAAAGCAGACCTGTGAAGTTCCTGAGAAAGAATTTTAAATGATGTTTTGAAGATGGTAAACAAGCTGAAAGAGATCACAGATAGACAAATAAATGAATTCAGCAAAACAATGCATGAAGACAATGAGAATATCAACAAAGAGATAGAAATTATAAGAAAGAACCAAACAGAAATTCCGGAGCTGAGAAATACAATAACTAAATTGAGAAATTCACTAGAGGGGTTCAATAGCAGATTTCATCAGGCAAAACAAAAAGAGTCAGCAAACTTGAAGACAGGTCACTTGAAATCATCAAGTAAAAAAGAAAAATGAATGAAGAGTGCCTAGGGCACTATAGGAGAATATCAAGAGGACCAATATACACATTGTAGGAGTCCCAGAAGGAGAAGAGCAAAGGGCAGCGAGATTATTAGAGAAATAATGGCTGAAAATTTTCAAAATATGAGGAAAGAAATGGATACACAAATTTAAGAAGCTCAATGAACTCCCACTAGGAAAATTCAAGAGACCACATCAAGACACATTTATAGTGTGTATTATATAAAACGGCTGAAATTCAAAGAAAGAAAATGAAATAAGCAAGAGAAAACCAACTTATCAAAAGCAAGTGGGCTTCCTTAACATCAGTGTATTCTTCAGCAGAAACTTTGCAGATCAGAAGAAAATGGGATGATATATTCAAAGTGCTGAAAGAAAAGAAAAAAATACTATCAACCAAGAATACTGTATCTGGAAAAACTGTCCTTCAAAAATGAAGGAGTGGGCTTCCCTGGTGGCACAGTGGTTGAGAGTCCGCCTGCCGATGCAGGGGACACAGGTTCGTGCCCCAGTCCGGGAAGATCCCACATGCCACGGAGCGGCTGGGCCTGTGAGCCATGGCCGCTGAGCCTGCGCGTACGGAGCCTGTGCTCCGCAATGGGAGAGGCCACAACAGTGAGGGGCCCACGTGTCACAAAAAAAAAAAGAAAGAAAAATGAAGGAGTGAGACTCCCCTTGTGGCACAGTGGTTAAGAATCCACCTGCCAATGCAGGGGACACGGGTTCAAGCCCTGGTCCGGGAAAATCCCACATGCCGCGGAGCAACTAAGCCTGTGTGCCACAACTACTGAAGCCCACGCGCCTAGAGCCCGTGTTCTGCGACAAGAGAAGCCACTGCAATGAGAAGCCCTGAGAAGCCCACGCACCACAACGAAGAGTAGTCCCCGCTCACCACAACTAGAGAAAGCCCATGCACAGCAACAAAGACCCAAAGCAGGCAAATAAATTAACTAATTGAAAAAAAACAAATGAAGGAGTGGACTTCACTGGTGGTGCAGCGGTTAAGAATCCATCTGCCAATGCAGGGGACATGGGTTTGAGCCCTGGTCTGGGAAGACCCACATGCTGCAGAGCTACTGAAGCTGCGCGCCTAGAGCCTATGCTCTGCAATGAGAAGCCACCAAAATGAGAAGCCTGTGCACCGCAATGAAGAGTAGCCCCTGCTCACTGCAACTAGAGAGAGCCCACACACAGCAACAAAGACCCAATGCAGCCAAAAATAAATTAAAAATTTAAATAAAGATATGTTTGACTGTACATAATAAAAAAAAAATGAAGGAGAAATCAATACCTTCCCAGATAAACAAAAGCTGAAGGAATTCATTACCACTAGACTTGTCCCACAGGAAATGCTAAAGGGAGTCCTTAAAGTTAAAATGAAAGAACATCAAAAAGCTACACAAA